GTGCTAAGTGCCACTTCGCGCACGTGTGCATGCTATGCTTTGGCAAGCGCCCCGCTGGCGAGTGCCCGCAGAAGGCAGCTAAGGCAGATGGCGCCACCAACGCTAAGAACTGACCCGCTGCACAACAGGCGCCGCTACCGCCGTCTTCGACCTCGGCACCAGAGGCTACAACCATTGCTACTTCCATGGCAAGCCCGAGCACGCGGCCGCTAAAGGTGCTCTACTTGTTTTCTGGAACGCCCCGCAAGCTAGACATGGCTGCCTGCCTCCAGCAACTGGCTACTTCCTGGACGCTAGAGCTCAAGACCGAGTGTGTGGACGTTAGACGCTCTGCTAAACACGACCTCAGTCTCCCTAAGGTCCGCCAGAGCTACCTCGACAGGATCGCTGCTATAAGGAGTTTGACGCTATACTGCTGTCGCCGCCGTGCTCTAGCTTTTCGCGAGCTACTTGGGCTAACTTCAAAGGACCTCGTCCTGTTCGCAGCTACGAGCACCCGCGAGGTTTGCCGACGCTAACTCCAGCAGAGCGTGATCGCGCTATCCTCGGGAACATCTTCGCCGACTTCAGCTACGAGGTGGCTACGTGGCTGCTGGAGCTGCCACGTTCATGGCTATGGAGCAGCCCGAGGACTTGGGAGCGCTAGCATCTGGTCCACATGAGGGGCTACGGCCCCTCGATGTGGCAACGGCCCCAGCTAGCCGACCTTCTTCAGAAGGGGCTANNTTTCACCAGGCTAGTTTTGGCACTCCCTACGCTGCAAAGAGTCATGGGGCTATGTTTCAGAGGCAAGCTAGGGGCGCTTTCAAAACCACAGGTTCCGGACCGTGGCCCGCTAAACTTTGCCAACGGTCGTCTGCTATGCTCGTCTCCTCCTGCCTGCATGCCGCTAATGCTGCTGTTGGTGAGGGGGTTCATGCCGGACACGCGGAGATGCTAGCACCCACTGTGAAACCTTTCCGCTAAACCACCCCAAAAACCCGGGGCCCCCCCGTTTCTGCCCACGGGGAAGCCCTTCCACCATGTGTGGGCGGGCTATGCTCGCCTGGCCGGTGGCCACACCACGCCAGGAGCTATGCCGAGGGGTTGCAGTGGGAGTGGCTTAGGAAGCGGATGCTAGAACTCATTCTGGCTAGGGTGGGCTCTCTGGAACAGCTAGAAAAGGAAGCCTTTCGCATGGCCGCTGGCGGCGAGAAGGGCTGCTCCCTCGCTAGCGACCAGGAGCTCCAGTGTCAGCTACGTGACCTTTGGAAGGACTGGCTAGAAGCTCAGGACCTGGGACAGCCGGAGCTGCTAGACGTGGCGCCGCAACAACCCCTATATCTTCGACTGCTTCGTGCTATGCTAGAAGCCGCTCAAGTTTGAGGAGGACGTTAGCGAGGGGCTCATGGCTAAAATGTCCATTCGAGTTCCTGGAGCGCTACGGTGAGCACACAGGTATCGCCGCGCTAGCCGTCATCGTTGAAAACGAGGAGCTAGACAAGAAACGCATCATTCACGATGCTACACATGGTGTGCGCGTTAACCACCGGATCAAGTGCCGGGACAAGCTACGTTCACCTGGTGCTAGGGAAAAGAAGCACCTGCTAAGGGAACACGAGGAGGAGGGCTGCCTTCTCCGTGGTGGGCGACATCGCTAAGGCCCACTGCCGCTACAAGCACGCAGCTAAGGAGCATGGCTTCCTTGCCTGCCAGGTCGATACCAGGGAAGAGGTTCGTGGGGACCCCGCTAGCCAGACGGTCTACGTGAACCTTGTGGGGAGCTTTGGCCTTTGCTGTGCTAGCTATGGTGCACCCGGATTGCGGCCTGCAGGCTTGGCCCGGACTTTCCGCTAGACCTCCTCCTCTACGCCGACGACCTGGAAGCTATGGGGAAAGGCCCTCGCAGAAGGCGAGGCATTCCGTTGAGCTACGTCTTCCTAGCTGGCGGCACTCGGTTACCCCTTCAAGGCTAGGGAGACTCGGATTCGCCTCCATTGCGCTAGACTGGGAACGGCCTTTCCTGAGACCGCTGCACGCCTGGTCCTCGGCAGAGCCTGGGCCCTTGACGCTACCAACCATGACCAGGGTGCTATGTGGCTGGTTGGCCGACCGCCTTGACTCGGAAAAAGGCTACAGAAACCGGAGGCTGCTGGAAGACGCGGCCCCGCTGGGCTTCTTCACGGACGCTAAGGCCGAAACCGGCCGCGCGTGGATCGGCGGGTTCCTCGAGCTAGTGGACGGCTGCCAAGGGCCCTGGTTCTCGCTAGAGGTCGTGGAGAGCTGGGCTCCCTGGGCCTTCGCTAAGCGCGATCCTGGGAAGGTCATCGCTGCGCTGGAATTGCTCGCTACCCTGGTTGGCGTCCGCCTGTGGGTGCCAGATGGTGATGCTAAGAAGACGTCACTATCAGAGGCTACACGGACAACCATGCAGTCCAACGAGTCCCTGCTAAGGAAGGCGAT